TTTTTTTATATTAAGGTATCATTGATATACAATCTTATGCTCAGGTTTCACATGGTTACTACATTCCCCCCTATTATCAAGTCCCCACCACATACCCAATTACAGTCACTGTCCATGCTATAGAGTCACTACTTGTCTTCTCTGTGCTATACTTCCTTCCCCGTGCCCCACTATATTATGTGCATAATACCCCTTAATCCCCTTATCCCTCCCTTCCCACCCACCCTCCCCAGTCCCTTTCCCTTTGGTAACCACTAGTCCATTCTTGGGTTCTGTGAGTCTGCTGCTATTTTGTTCCTTCAGTTTTTGCTTTGTTGTTATACTTCACAGATGAGTGAAATCACTTGGTACTTACCTTTCTCCACCTGGCTTATTTCACTGAGCATAATACCCTCTAGCTCCATCTATGTTGTTGTAAATGGTAGGATTTGTTTTCTTCTTATGGCTGAACAATATTCCATTGTGTATATGTACCACATCTTCTTTATCCATTCATCTACTGATGGATACTTAGGTTGCTTCCATTTCTTGGCTATTGTCAATAGTGCTGCAATAAACATAGGGGTGCATATATCTTTTTGAATCTGTGATCCTGTTTTCTTAGGGTAAATTCCTAGGAATGGAATTCCTGGGTCAAATGGTATTTCTATTTTTACTTTTTTGAGGAACCTCCATACTGCTTTCCACAGTGGTTAACTAATTTACATTCCCACCAGCAGTGTAGGAGGGTTCCCCTTTTTCCACATCCTTGCCAGCATTTGTTGTTGCTTGTCTTTTGGATGTTGGCCATCCTAACTGGTATGAGGTGATATCTCATGTGGTATTAATTTGCATTTCTCTGATGATTAACAATGTGGAGCATCTTTTCATGTGCCTGTTGGCCATCTGAAATTCTTCATTGGAGAAGTGTCTGTTCAGCTCCTCTGCCCATTTTTTCATCGGGTTATTTGCTTTTTGGGTGTTGAGGTATGTGAGCTCTTTATATATTTTGGATGTCAACCCTTTATCAAATCTGTCATTTATGAATATATTCTCCCATACTGTAGGATGCCTTTTTGTTGTACTGATGGGGTCCTTTGCTGTACAAAAGGTTTTTTAGCATGATGTGGTCTCATGTGTTCATTTTTGCTTTTGTTTCCCTTGCCCAGGGAGATATGCTCATGAAAAAGTTGCTCATGTTTATATTCAAGAGAGTTTTGCCTATGTTTTCTTCTAAGAGTTTTATGGTTTCATGACTTACATTCATGTCTTAGATCTATTTTGAGTTTACTTTTCTGTATGGAGTTAGACAGTAACCAGTTCCAAAACCAGTTGTTGAAGAGGCTGTCATTTCCCCATTGTATATCCATGGCTCCTTTATCATATATTAATTGGCCATATATGTGTGGGCTTATATCTTGACCCTCTATTCTATTCCATTCATCTATGGCTCTGTTCTTGTGCCAGCACCAAATTATCTTGATTATTGTGGCTTTGTAGTAGAGCTTGAAGTCGGGGAGCAAAATCCCCCCTGCTTTATTCTTCCTTCTCAGGATTGCTTTGGCTATTTGGGGTCTTTTGTGGTTCCATATGAATTTTAGAATGATTTTCTCTAGTTCATTGAAGAATGTGGTGGGTATTTTGATAGGAATTGCATCGAATCTGTAGATTGCTTTAGGATCATCTGCACTTTTTAATGGAAGGGATTATTTCTGGAGTTGGCACCTCTTGGAATCTTGACCCTCACCCCTACCCCTTTGCACTCAGCCAAGCTTCATAATTGATGGGGGAGGTGTGGCAAAGCCATCAGTTCCACTGAACAATTGGGAGGAGGGGGACAGGAGGGAAGGGACTGCTGCCTCCATGTCTTTTCATGCACCTGGGTCTGAGCTGAGGGTCTCATTGAATAGTCCTATCAATCTTGCCCTTTGCAGATGAGGAAACAAGTTCAGAGAGATGGAGTAACTTGCTTGAGGTCACACAGCTAGTAAATGGCAGAGCAGGGGCTCAACCTTATGATTTTAAGGCACATGTTTTATTTTTTTCCCACACCCATACCACTCCCCTCCCCCACTCCCCAGTGTGGATTTGTAAGAAAACCCTGGGCTTTGAAGTTCCAAAGGCTTGAATCTGACTTGTAGAATAAACGAGGTTTTAGAACTGTCATGTCAAATGTCTATCTGACATTTTTAAGTGAAGTTCACATAGCATAAAGTCATCTATTTTAAAGAAAAATTCAGTGGCATTTAGTGCATTCACAGTGTTGTGCAACCATCATCTTTAGTTCCAGAGCATTTTCATCCTCCCCAGAGGAAACCATGTGCCCGTCAGAATCACTCCCCTCAGCCCCTGGCTAACCACTTATCTGCTCTCTGTCTCTACAGATTTACATATTCTGGATATTTCACCTAATATGTAATTTGATTTTTTTTATCATTTATAACTGATTTACTGAGTGTTCTCCTGTTGAGTTCTCATGATCTCTACAACACCTGTGAGTTAGGGAGGCCCTGTTGTTTTATTTTTCTATTCATTTATTTATTTTTCTCAAGCAGAGAGTTCCCACATACCCTCTTGCCTCCCCCATCCTATTGCCTATTATTAATATCTTACATTGGTATGGTACATTTGTTAAGATTAATGAACCACTATTGATATATTATTATTATCAAAAATAATATTAATAAACTCAAGTTCATGGCTTATTCAGGTTTACTTAGTTTTTACCAAACGTCATCCAATCCAAAATAGCACATTATATTAAGTTGTCATGACCCCTTAGGCCTTCCTTGACTGTGGCGGTTTCTCAGATACCTTGTTGAACACCTTGGCAGTTCTGAGGACTACTGGTCAGGTATTGCTAGGATGGCCCTCTATTGGAATGTGTCTAATGTTTTTCTCATTATTAGTCTGGGGGTGGGTTATGGGTCATGGGGAGGAACATCACAGAGGTCAAGTGGCATTTTTTTATGACATGGTCATGTTATGCTTAATCATCTCGTGTCCTGGGATGCATTTCGGCCCCTTCCCAGATGGGAACACTGAGGCGCATCCTGGAGCGGAGCGGGAAATGGCCACGCCCAGACTTGAACCACACCGCTTCTTCCCACTGAGCCATTTCCCTCCTCCCTGGGTGAGGTTGTGTGTATCAGCGCAGAATCGATCGGCCTGAATCTGACTCTGTGGCCTCTGCTCAGCCACTCCAGGACTCCAGCTCTTTCTGTTCTGTTCCCTTGACCAGGCACTGGGGCCAAGGAAGAGACCCATCTGGAAGGGCTTCCCTGTTTCAACCCAAGTCCAGAAGCCCCAGGAAAGGTCCTACAACTACTGAGAAAACACTGAAGCAGCATTTGGTAAGCAGACAGGGAAACTGAGGCCCAGAAAGGGGAAGTGGTTTATTTGCTTGGGCCTGGCTCTGAACCCATTTGACCCAAGTTTGTTTCATGCACCTGTCTCTTCATATTTGCCCGAGGCTTGTACCTTGCTCCAGTATGGTGGCCATTAGCCACGTGTGACTATTTAAATTCATTACAATTAAATAATGTTAAAAATCAGCTTCTCAGTCCCACTTGCTGCATTTCAAGTGTTCAATAGCTACATGCAGCTGGGAGCTGCTGTGCTGGAAGGTGTAGATATAGAATGTTTCCATCATCACAGAAAGTTCTATTGGACAGTGCTGCTGAGGTTGTCACAGAGTCTGTCTCAGCGCCAGCCAGGAGGCAGGTGGAGCTGGGAGAACTCTGGAGGGAGAGGAGGGTTCGCTGAGGACCCTACAGCAGCCTGATGAATGGCTCTGCCACTTCAGCACTCAGAATGAGTGAAGGCTGCCCAAGGAAAGGGCAAAATGCTAAATCCCTCTTATATGGGTTCTTCAGAATCAGATCAGAAGAGAGGACTAGGCGCTGCTCCTGTTGGGAGTGGTCTGAGATGTAGCTGGTGCTACAGAATCCTCTAAGGCTAATAATATTAACTACCATTACTGAGTGCTGACTCTATTCCAGGTCGCATGCTAAGAACCTAGCACAAACCCTGGAGGTGGAGCCAATTACAAACTCCATTTTACAGAGAAGACCACTGAGGCCCAGAGAGGTTAAGGGACTGCCCCAGTGTCACACAGCAGGACCAAGATGTGAGTTGGAGTCAGTGCTTATGATATTACAGTATCACCTCATGGCAGGGAATCGTAGTCATGGGTGGGAGTGCCGAAAGCTCCCAGAAGGAGACTTAGCCCTGTTTACTTCCCTCCTCTTCCCTCTCCCAGCCAGCTGGAGGCCTTCCACAAGGCAGGCTGGATAAATTCCCATGTGCATTTTGTGCAGGGGCCTAGGCAAAGCACCTGGTGGGGCAGGGGTCGAACCCCTTCTAGAACCCTCTCCTCCTGGCAGGAGATGTGCTAACTGTGACAATCCAAATCTCCCCTGGGAATACAGAGCTGGCAGATGAATAGACCCAGCAGGCACTGGGTAGTCCATCAAGTCCCTATACTTTGTACTGCTGCCCAGGTTCATGCACAGGTGTGCACAGCACAGCTTCTCCCACCCAGCCTGGCTGGAAAACACTCTCCAGTGGAAAAAACATGTAAGGATAGCTTGTTGGCTTCTTCAGGTGACGGCATACCCACACTCCAGCAAGGTCACACCTGCCAGGGCTCCTGCTTCCAGGAAATGTTAAAAGCAGCCACCAGCTACCATTTATGGAGTGCTTCTGTATGTCTGGCCCTGAGCTACAGGCTCTATGTGTATTGTTTTTCAGCCTAACAATAATCTTCTGACTTCAAAACATATTACATTTTTTTCTAGGAGTTATTGTCATCCTCTGCCCCTTTTTACAGATGATGAAACAGGATCAGAGAGCTTAAGTAACTTGCTCAAAGTCACACAGCCATAAAGTAGTGGAGATAGGATTTGAACCTGTGTGCACCTACCTCTTGGCCCAGGGCTCTCTTCAGTAATAATAATAATAATAACAACAGTAATAAGAACAGCATCAGTAGCCTCCCTGGACTGCTGGGCCAGGAATGACACACCAAGTCCAGAAGCCCCAGGAAAGGTCCTACAACTACTGAGAAAACACTGAAGCAGCATTTGGTAAGCAGACAGGGAAACTGAGGCCCAGAAAGGGGAAGTGGTTTATTTGCTTGGGCCTGGCTCTGAACCCATTTGACCCAAGTTTGTTTCATGCACCTGTCTCTTCATATTTGCCCGAGGCTTGTACCTTGCTCCAGTATGGTGGCCATTAGCCACGTGTGACTATTTAAATTCATTACAATTAAATAATGTTAAAAATCAGCTTCTCAGTCCCACTTGCTGCATTTCAAGTGTTCAATAGCTACATGCAGCTGGGAGCTGCTGTGCTGGAAGGTGTAGATATAGAATGTTTCCATCATCACAGAAAGTTCTATTGGACAGTGCTGCTGAGGTTGTCACAGAGTCTGTCTCAGCGCCAGCCAGGAGGCAGGTGGAGCTGGGAGAACTCTGGAGGGAGAGGAGGGTTCGCTGAGGACCCTACAGCAGCCTGATGAATGGCTCTGCCACTTCAGCACTCAGAATGAGTGAAGGCTGCCCAAGGAAAGGGCAAAATGCTAAATCCCTCTTATATGGGTTCTTCAGAATCAGATCAGAAGAGAGGACTAGGCGCTGCTCCTGTTGGGAGTGGTCTGAGATGTAGCTGGTGCTACAGAATCCTCTAAGGCTAATAATATTAACTACCATTACTGAGTGCTGACTCTATTCCAGGTCGCATGCTAAGAACCTAGCACAAACCCTGGAGGTGGAGCCAATTACAAACTCCATTTTACAGAGAAGACCACTGAGGCCCAGAGAGGTTAAGGGACTGCCCCAGTGTCACACAGCAGGACCAAGATGTGAGTTGGAGTCAGTGCTTATGATATTACAGTATCACCTCATGGCAGGGAATCGTAGTCATGGGTGGGAGTGCCGAAAGCTCCCAGAAGGAGACTTAGCCCTGTTTACTTCCCTCCTCTTCCCTCTCCCAGCCAGCTGGAGGCCTTCCACAAGGCAGGCTGGATAAATTCCCATGTGCATTTTGTGCAGGGGCCTAGGCAAAGCACCTGGTGGGGCAGGGGTCGAACCCCTCCTAGAACCCTCTCCTCCTGGCAGGAGATGTGCTAACTGTGACAATCCAAATCTCCCCTGGGAATACAGAGCTGGCAGATGAATAGACCCAGCAGGCACTGGGTAGTCCATCAAGTCCCTATACTTTGTACTGCTGCCCAGGTTCATGCACAGGTGTGCACAGCACAGCTTCTCCCACCCAGCCTGGCTGGAAAACACTCTCCAGTGGAAAAAACATGTAAGGATAGCTTGTTGGCTTCTTCAGGTGACGGCATACCCACACTCCAGCAAGGTCACACCTGCCAGGGCTCCTGCTTCCAGGAAATGTTAAAAGCAGCCACCAGCTACCATTTATGGAGTGCTTCTGTATGTCTGGCCCTGAGCTACAGGCTCTATGTGTATTGTTTTTCAGCCTAACAATAATCTTCTGACTTCAAAACATATTACATTTTTTTCTAGGAGTTATTGTCATCCTCTGCCCCTTTTTACAGATGATGAAACAGGATCAGAGAGCTTAAGTAACTTGCCCAAAGTCACACAGCCATAAAGTAGTGGAGATAGGATTTGAACCTGTGTGCACCTACCTCTTGGCCCAGGGCTCTCTTCAGTAATAATAATAATAATAACAACAGTAATAAGAACAGCATCAGTAGCCTCCCTGGACTGCTGGGCCAGGAATGACACTAAGAGCTTTACACAGGCTGGCCAATGATAGGGTGCTATGACAGATGGGCAAATTGAGACAGTATACCAACGTCTCAAAACCTTTTCCCACACCCAAAGCCATCATCCTCAGCATCTGGGTTTCATGAGACTCTCCTATTGGTTCTCATAGCATCCATTCTCGGCCTCCCTCATCCATCCTGAGAAGCAGTTCTTTATATATTCTGCATATTAACTTCTTATCAGATGATTTACAAATTTTTTCTTCCATTCGGTAGGGTGCCTTTCACTTTGTGTTCCTTGTTGCACAAAAGTTTTTAGGTCCAATGTGTCCCATTTGTCTATTTTTGCTTTTGTTGCTTGTGCTTTTGGCTTGGTACCCAAGAAATCATTACCAACCCTGATGCCATGAAGCTTTCCCCATTTTCTTCAGGAGTTTCAGGTCTTTAATCCATTTTGAGCTAATTTTTGTAGATGGTGTAAGAGAAGGGTCCAGCTTCATTTTTTGTAGGTGGATATCCAGTTTTCCCAGCATCATTATTAATTTTTTTTAATTGAGGTACATGCAATAAAGTGCACAAACCTTAGTGTACAGTTCAATGAAGTTTGACATGTGTATACACTCATGTAACCATCATCCAGATGAAGATACCAAACATTCTAATTTTTTCTCCTTAACCTATGCACCCATCCTCCTCTGCCCCCTCCCCTTTGGCAACCACCAGTTTGTTCTGTGTCTGTGGGTTGATTTCTGTTTTCTTTGTTCATTTGTTCTGTTTTTTAGATTCCACATGTAAGTGAAATTGTATGGTATTTGTCTTCTCTGTCTGAATTATATCACTTAGCATAGTACCTTCTAGGTCCATCCATGTTGTCCCAAATGGCAAAATTTTCATTCAATGGTGGAGTAATATCACATTGTAGATGTGTATCACATCTTTATCCATTCATCTATTAACGGACATTTAGGTTGCTTCCATATTTGGGCTCTTGTAAATAATGCTGCAATAAATACAGGAGTGCATATATCTTTTCAAATTAGTGAATTTTGTTTTCTTTGGGTGAATTCTCAAAAGTGGAATTACTGGGTCATATGGTATTTCTATTTTTAATTTTTTTGAAAAACCTCCATACTGCTTTCCGTAGTGGCAGCACCAATTTACATTCCCACCAACAATGCACGAGGGTTCCCTTTTCTCCACAATCCTTGCCAACACTTGGTTGGTATTTCTCATCTTGTTGAAATTAGCCATTCTGACTGGTGTGAGGTAATATATCTTGTGGTTTTTATTTGAGTTTTAAGGGACCATTTATTGAACATATATGAGCACCACAAGCTGTTGGGCCCACTCAGATGGGAGCAGCCACTGCTGAGCTCTGATCATGCATTTCCAGGCGTCGGGCTGCCCTCTGCACAGCAGCTACTTACTTATGTTGTGCCTTGCCTGGTGTTGAGGCCTCTGTTCACCTTCCCGTTCAATTCTCAACCACATGAATGACTTCTAGCATTCTTTTTAAATTTATTGAGGTGAAATTCTCCTAAAATAAAATTAACCTTCTAAAGGCGAACTATCCAGGGGCATTTAGGACGTTCACGATGTTCTGTAACCACTGCCTGTTGTTCCAAAACATTTTTATCACCCCAAAGGAAATTCCTTAACCACTAAACCATTAGTTCTGTTCCCCCTCCTTCCAGACCCTTCCGGTTTTCTATCTTTGGAATCTTAAGACACGTGGCCTTTTCTGTACCATCCCCTTTCACCAGTGAGAAGACTGAGGCTCAGGGGTTGGGGAAGCTGTTCAATGTCCGTCAGCTCGGAAGGGGAGGGGCCAGGTGTTGGAACACACACATCTAACCATTGACCTATACCTTCCCTGAGCTGAGCTGGTTTCTCCACCTTACTTTCTTAGGATTCTTTTTGGGTCAAAGGCAAACCAAAAATGTACCATTTTTAAGTGTAGCACTCAGTGGCATTAATTATATTCACCATGTTGTGCAACCATCACCAGGATCTATTTCCAAAACTTTTTCATTATCCCAGACAGAAACTCTGTAACCATTAAGGAATAACTCCCCATTTCTTCCTCCCCAGCCCCTGGGAGCGTCTGATCTACATTCTGTCCCAATGAATTTGACTATCTGAGGTCCCTCATATAAGCAGAACCATACACACATTTGCCCACTTGCATCTGGCTTCTTCCATTCATCGTAACGTCTTCAAGGCTCACCCATATTGCAGCATGGGTCAGCACTTCCTTTTTATGGCTGAATAATATTCCACTGTATGGATATATGTGTATCCACTCATCTGTTGTTGATCACTTGGATTGCTTCCCCATTTTAGCTGTTGTGAGTAATGCTACTATTAACATTGGTGTACAAGTATCTGTTTTTGACTCCCGGCTTTCAATTCCTTTTGGTATATACCTAGGAGGGAAATTCTGAGTCCTATAGTAATTCAATGTTTAATTTTTTGAGGAACCACCCAAGCGTTTTCCACAATAGCTGCACCATTTTACATCCCACCAGCAATGCAGAGGGGTTCCATTTTCTCCCATTTGTAATTTCCCATGGTTTTTGTTTGTTTTTATAATGGCCATGCTAATAGGTGTGAAGTGGTATCCCATTACCAGTGCCAAGCTTTGAGGCTGGTCAAGAAGTTGGAGATGGAAGCCGATCAAGTGAAGACTATTCTGGAGGAAGAGAGAAGGGAAGGGAAAACGGTACCATTGAGGTACGGAGATCTGAATGCACAGGTGGAGACACAAGACACAAGCCCGGCACAATTTTCAAATAATTTATTAGGAATTTAAAACTGAAAATAAAACCTGGAAAAAGAAGTTACAGATGTGGAGAGAAGAGACACCAGAGGGTGGTAACTTGCCGGCTTCGAAACACCGTGTAACATCTTTTTAAAAAATTCCCCAAACAAATCAGAAAACAGAATTCCAGGGCCCTGAGCCATGGTTGGGTCCCCTGGGGTGGGAGTGGGAGTCACAGGAAGGGGAGGAGAGGGAAGCTAAGTCTCTCCTGACTCAGCTCAAACGTGTAAAAAATTAAAAATAAAACCCAATAAAATGCAGCTTCTCTTTTATTAGGAAACATCAAAAAAAAAAAAACACCACGAACAGCCGCGTATCTCAGTAACAAAGATTATTGCTTTGTGTTCTCAGGGCTAATAGGTTAAGCACCTCAGACAATTAACTCTCCAAAGGGGGTTTTAAGGGGTGGGGGACTGTGATGCAGAAGGGAGCTTAGGTCCCCAGCCTCAGATCTGGGGGAGAAGGGGAAGGAAACAGGATGACAGCAGGTGGGCCTCAGCCCTGCCACGCCAGCCAGGTCACTCAGTTCATGAAGTCAGACCCTTTGAAGGGGACTTGGGGGTAGGGAGCTGCCAAGGGGCTTTGGCCATGGGACCAACCCGGTGGGAAACTTCAGTGAGAGAATGTGGGGTTCCCTGAGAAGCCCTTTGCTTTCCCCTGGGGTCCGCCCCTTCCCAAAGTGCCCCCTGATGCCCACTCATGGCAGGGCTCAGAGCAGAAAACATGAAGGCCCAGCCTAGGCCGGGGGCTGGGGGAGACCTTTAGAGAGTTAATTTCTTTCCAGCAGTGGCTCTGGGCGAGCCCTGCTCTTTGCCTCCCCCCTTGCCCCCACAGTGGGTTTTTGGGGTGAGCAGGCCCAAGGCCTGAGAGCGGGCCTGCCTCAGCCACAGTTGAGGCCTGCAAGCTTACAGTAACGGTGTCTGAGGAGGAGACAGAAATGGGGGAGTGGGGGAGACCTTTGCCAGGTGGGGTCAGGCAATGCCCTCACCCCCAAGGGGTCTGAGAGAGAGGTGGGGGCTTCGCCTCACAGTATTTACATATGATACAGGACAGGATGGTCCAGGGGCTTGGCCTGGCCCTACTCAGCCCTGTCCTCCTCTCCAGGGCTGGAGGGAGGTGGCCAGGGGTCCACACCCACATAGACATTTTGTTCTCAGCTGGTGGGGGGCACCTGGCCCCTTGCCCCCTGCGGCCTGGGACTTCACATTCACAAACCTAGAAATAGTTTAAAAAACAGTTCTTTAAAAAAAACAAAAAAACGGAAGAGGAAAGGAAAAATCAAAATAAAAAACAAGGGTTGGGGCTGCGTCCTGTGGCAGGCGCCCTCCGCCCTCACTCTAGCTATGCACAAATACAAAAGCCTTCTTCGGGTCGGGGTCCTATGGGGGCGCGACAGGGAGGTAGGGGCACAGACCCAAGAGGGGAGGTAGGGTGGGCAACCGGCTAATCCAAAATAAATAAAAGCGGGCAGGAGAGGGCAGGTGAGGGGCGAAGGGTGGAAGTGTGGGAGGTTAGTAGGGGAGCCGGACGTTGTCCAGAGGCAGCAGGGCAGGCGCTGGGCCCGGGGGGGGGCGGCCTGCAGAAGCGGTTCGAGTTGCTGCAGGAGAGGAGACGACGGCTGCGGCTGAGGTGTCCGTCCCCTCACTGGCTCACTCCTGGTCCTCAGTCGGCCACAGGCTGGGGTGCTGGAACACAGCAGGAGGCTCTGGGGGCCCTGGTGTCCTGCCCTTGCCCCGTCTCTTGGGGGCCCCCACAGCACGCGATGGCAATGCCCTCACATAAGGCCCCTTCCCTAATGCCTTCCTGGAAGGGCTTTGTTCCCACACTTGCTGGATTTGGAATGGCTGGATTTATTCAAGTGTCCGTTCCTCAGAGGTGTCTTCTGTGACTCCCTAATCCAAAGTAGCCCCCTCCCACACAATTTGGAATTATCTCATTTTTCACTTCATTATTGTCTGTGGAATGAGAGAGGGCCCTTGTCCCTCTTACATAGCTGACCCCTGAACAATAGGGAGTGGGTGGGCTAGGGGCCTTGACACCCACCTCCATGCAATGGAAAACCCCAGTGTAACTTTTGACTGCCCCAAACTTAACTATTAATAGCCTACCACTGATTGGAAGCCTTACCTGATAACATAGTCAATTAACACATATTTTGTACGTGTATTTTCAACTGTATTCTTACAATAAAGTAAGCAAGAGAGAAGAAAATATTAAGCAAATATAAGGAAAAGGAAATACATTTTCCAGTACTGCACTGTATTTATTGAACAAAATCTGCTTATAAGTGGACCTGCACAGTTCAAACCCGGGTTGTTCGGGGGTCAACTCTACATCCCTCTTTCCTGGAAAAGTACTCAATAAATAGCTGTTTGAATGAATGAATGAATGAACAAAATGCCATGGGGTCACACAGTACCCACCATCATGACTGTGTAGAGTTATCTATCTCTTGCTCTCTGTATATGTATGTATGTTGATAATACCCTGTTTTAACTGCTGTGTAATATTCCACTGCATGCATGTACTCTAATTTACTTAATCACTTTCCTGTGAATGGTCATTTCAGTTATTTGAAACTTTTAAAATAAATGCCTGGAAGTGGAATCATTGGGCCAAGGGCACAAATGTTTAAAATCTGATAAACACTGTCAGTGTGTCCTTTGGAAACTCTGAGTCAATTTACACGCTGTTTCCCCTAAACCTTTATCAATGCTGGACGTTAACAATCTGAAAAAGTCTTTGCCTGACAGGTGACATGTGCTGCCTCATTGTTTCCATTGACGTATTTTATGTGGCAGGTTGCACAGCTTTTCATTTTCGTTGACCACTGCTGGTATGAAGGTCTGTCCCCACCGTGACTCCCAGGACTGTGAGCTCTGTGTTTGCAGGGATGGCGTCTATGTCCCAGACTGGGCAACCCAGAACCAGCCTCCCTAGTGCCACCTCTACCCAAAGCACCAGCCCACCTCCTCACCTCCTGCCACCTGTATCCTGCTTCAGTGGTACCCATTGGTGAAAGCTGTGGCAATCAAGGGGCCCTGGAAGAAAAGAATTTGACTCCTAGATTCCTGAGGGAACCCAAGAAAGCCAGGGGCCCTTCCCTCTACCTCAGGGAATCTGGGGGGGCACACACGCTTCTCCAGGCCTGCCCATATCACCCCCACTGCAGACCCATTGAAAGATTCCCCAGGATAGGACCTGGAGAACCACACATAACCCTTACCTTGGTTAAATCAGGGCACCCCTGAGCCAGAATCTAGCCTCCATGTGGGCAGAAATGGTGAGTCTTATTTGTATAATACCCCCAGAGCCCATCTAATGCCTGGCATACAGAGGGTGATCATTAAATGCCCACTGAATGAATGATAATCCCCACTTGGCGACACTCTTTCTCCATCCATCATGCCTCAGCTTCCTTCTGCCCCTGAAGACAGACCAGGCCTCTCCCTCCTCCAACTTCAGGGTCCTCCAGGACCAGGCACTCACCCCAAGGCTGTGGCCGAAGCCGGTGCTGGGGGCGGGGCTGGCAGCACTGATGTAACTGCTGACCCCCGAGTCCTGGTTGGCTGCCCCATAGAGCTCAGCCATGGGGCCGGGGCTGGTGGTCCCCAGGAAGCCCCCTGTGCGGCTGGGAGTTGAACCTGGAGGGGGAGCCATCGTCCAGGGGTGAGAGCCTGGCAACCCAGAAAGAAGACAGTGATAGCCCCGGCGCCCACTGCTGCCCCACGGCACCCCCTCAAACCTGTTCCACCCACCCTGACCTCGACCCTTCCTCTCCTTCACCCCCACTTCCCAGAAGGGCCTTTGAGTCCACCTCCTGGAGACCTTGCCGAGTCCACGCCCACCCAGCCCTAGTCCAGGCCCCCATCATCTCGTCTGACCACTCAGCCACCTGATCTCTAGGTCTCCATTCTTGAGCCCTTTCAAATCTTTCCCTCGCTGCAGCTGAGTGCATCTTCTACAATAGACGCCACTCCGCTGCTTAACATGTCATGAAGGACCTTGTTCCTCCTGCCTCCTTCCCTGCACTCCCCACTCCCGCACTCTACCCAAGCTAACTGGCCTCCAAGCCTTTGCATATGCTATTCCTTCTGCTGGGAACACTTTTCCTCTTCTTCGCTTTTAAGTTGGAAGTTAAAAGGCCCTTCCTCCGGGAAGACTTCCCAAGAGGCCCTGGCTGAGAGCTCCTCTGGTATCTGGCTTCCCCTGGTGGAGCAGTATGAGCCTTCAGAATTATTGCCATTTCAGTACACAATGACCCCCACCAGCCTGTTAGGCCTGGAGGGCAGAGACCACATCAGTCTCCTCTGTGGCCTGCTTGCAGGTGCTCAATGAGTACTTGTTGAGTGAGTGAAAAAATAAAAGGGGTGAGAAATAAATGGACAGGGGTGGCAGTGGCTACCTCGCCTCCCCTCTGGGCTTCTCCACCCCCTGCACCCCTTCCCTGCTGCCTGCACCCTGAAAGGCCTCACCGGTCCCTCGAACCACAGCTGCTGCAGCCGCCGCCGCCGCCATTGGTCCATAAGCAGTGAGAGGAATGGCTGAAAGGAAAGCACGGCACTTCAGCAGGGCCATCAGGGGACAGAGGCGGATGAAGGAGGCCCCTCGGGCAGAGCCTCTCCAGCCTTACCCACCTCAAGGGGCTCAGTGCAGCCCCAGGGCCAAGGCACAGAGGGCTCTCTGGGGCTGCCATCCATGCCCTGACCCACCAGATGGATGGAGAAAGGCAGGAGAAAGGAGGCTTTCCTAGTGATTGGCTCAGCCTCTGTTGTCCCCTTAACTCAAGAGACACACTTGAACAACCCAAACTCAGAGGATGGGAGCGGGGTGCCCCACCTTGAGCTGCTCTGAGCACTGCCCCCTTCTCCCAAGAGTGCCCTCGGCTGAACAGGGGCCCAGAGGTATTCCGGAATTTACGTCCCTCATCCCAACCCAGGCCCAGTGCAGCCAGAGACTGGCTGACACCGGATACAGAAAGCCAGGCCTGTTGCCTCAAGGTGGGATGATCTGGGGTGCAGTGCACGCCCCCGAGTCCCTGTGGGATCAGGCTGGAGGCCCCAGCTGCCTGTTGCTCCCTCTGCTGCCTGTCCTGTTTCCCTCACTTCCCTTCTCCTGAGAGCACGCCCTCCACTGTAGGCCCCCAATTCCCTGCCTCGGGGTCCCCAACTACCACCCGGCCAGAAATGACCTTTCCCTGCCCCCAATTCCCTCGACCCTATCCTCTGATCTGCTGCTCTTCAGGCACAGGGATCCTTCATCCTTGTCTGCATCTGCCTCCAGCCTCACTTCCACAGTGCCTAGCACCCTGCCTTGTACACAGGGGGTGTTTCCTAAGTGTTGACTGAAGGAGTAGAAGGACCTCTGCTTTAAGAACCTGGGGGCTTGAGCCCGGAGCTCCCTCGGGCTGGAGGATGGTGGGCAGCTCCGCCCCCTGCTTGGTCTTGCCGTTGCAGCCCCTGGGAAGCTACCACTCCGCTAAAGCCAGTGTCTCGTCGGCATCTGCCTTTAGGAACACCAGCCTCTCATCCCAAGATGCGTCCCCCAGGGCTGTTTTGGTAACCCTTATCCTGAAACGGAACCCAACCTGGGGCAAGGGACCCCGAAAAGGCCCCTGAAAATCCTTGGCAAGACCACTGGGCTGGGGGATTAAAGTCTAGGAAAGCGTGGTTCCTGCACCATGGAGGACCTTGCCTAAGAGCTTCATACTGTCGGCTCTTTCTCAATTGGACTTCTCCTCTGAGAAGCCTTCCTTCCTTGACCATCATTGCTAAACCAGCCTCCTTGTCCCCTATCCTAACACCTCAGCACACCTCCCTGTTTTATTTTCATGGTGGAATTTCTCACCTTCTGAAAGCATCGTATTTATTTGTTTACTTGTTTATTGCTGTCTCCTTCCCCTAAGGGGGCAGGGACCCTCCCTCACTCACTGCTATATCCCTACTGCCTGGAACAGCATTTGGCACAATAAATATCTCTTGGATATTATGTGTGTTTCACCCACATCTCCTGAAGGTAAGAGAAAAGTTCAGACCCCAGGATTCCACGGTAGACTTCCTCCCCTGCCAACATGTTTGCAGAGGGAACATTTCTTCTCTCAGTTCGTTAGGGGCAGAGGCTGGGCTCTTAGGTCTGGTTTTGGTCCATTTAGGCATTTCCATGAAGCAAAGTCAGTGAGCAAGTGCTTATCACAACTGTAACGAATTACTTGTTTGTATAATAAGAATTTGTTTCTCTCTGCAGGCTGGCAAGTTCTACTGAAAGCAGGTCCTGGTTCTGTCTTTGCCTCCGCTCTGCCCCCCAGGGCCTGGCACAGCATCCCACACAGTAGGTCCTCAACACAGAGTTCTCAAAGGAGTAGACAAGACTCCCCTTGTGCATCCACCACTGCTGCTCAAATCCTCACTCTGCTCAGAAAAAAGCCTCTATCACCTCGCCTCCAGGACTCCCTCCCCTTCTCCAACCCATGTTTTTCCCCCATCTGGAGGGACCCTTGAGCACCCCTTGGAAGGAAGGTCTCATCTAAAGCAGCATCCATGCTCACGTCCTCCACACATGGCCAGGTTTGGGGGGGAGAGTCTGGGGTGAGGGGTGGGGAGAAGCAGGTTGAAGAGAGAAAAAAACCCCTTGCAGCCCACCTGTCTACACAGGCACCGCCCTTCGGAGCTGAGCTGATTGGCCCAAGTGAAAGCTTCAGCTGCAAAAATGGCTCCTGATGGCCAACCCCTTCATCCCACTTGCCCAGAGGTTGCCAGTGGGCAGCCTGAGGGCTGGGGTTAGCCCTCTAACATGTTTCGCTTGGCCTGCAGTGGTTTTTAAAAATTTGGAATTTGTTGCCAACATTTGAAAATTTCATCTGAAAGCAAGCGCTGAGTGTCTGGCTTCTCTTGGAAAATGAGACTGAAAGTACTGACCTGCATCCCCTCCTGGCAAGGGTTTGCTGGCAGGAAGTGCAGACATGCTCCCTCCAGTTTGCCCAAGTCCCCACCCAGCCCACTCTGCTCTGAGTCTGAGACCCTTGTTTCTTCACCGCTGGATCCCAGAACCTACATGGTGCCTGACACATGGAAGGTGCTAAATAAATATTTGCTAAATGGATGAATGAGTGACTTTGCCTCCATCTGCTGGGCTTGGCCCCATGTCCCACCCTTAAGGGCCAGGCCATAGAGCTACACAGACTGGCCAATGCCCAGGCAGTCTGCTATATCCCCACAGCTGGGCGGGCAGGAGAAAAGGGTCCTGCTAGCTTTCCCCGGGAGGGTCCCTGGGTCCTTCTCTTTCTCCCCATGTGGCCTGTGAGGTGTATGAAATCTGAGCGACTGACCTGTAAGCTCGGGGAGGACTGGGGCGTTCGGGAGAGGGGTCCGCTCTACACGGAATTCTAAAATGAAACATAAAACAGCTTAGGAAGATGCAGGGGATGCCCTCTGGGCATGGCCCAGGGAAGACAAATGCACCCACAGGGACACTGGGTTGGGGGATAGGCCATGCATAGGACCCAAGAGCTGGGGATGGGGGAGCAAGATCCCCAGCAGACAAGGGTGGGGAAGGAGACATAGATGCAGAGGACAGACAGAGAGAGGCAGAGTTGCCACCTATACCCTGGGCACAGGGCAATGCTGGAGCTACCATTCCCAGTGTTTCTTAAAGGGCTTGAGATGGCACCAAAACATCTCCCAGAATCCTCCTCGTCCCTATTTCTTGGAGTAAGGAGGAGGCGCAGAGGCAGCGTTAGTAAAAAAAACAATGGCCCTCGAGCAGATGGGACTCAAGTTCAAGTCCCAGCTCCCCGACTTCCTAGCCAAGTCATCTTAGTAATTCTTACTTCTCACCTACAAGACGGGGGTACACATCCCTCCCCCGTGAGACTGCTGTCAGGATTAGATAACATAATTACATACAGGATTCCAAGCCTGACAGCCCCAAGGCAAATGATGAAGTGCTCAGGGACCCTCTAAAAAAATAAGACCAAAAAAAAAAAAGCCTTGCAAAAATTTGATACTTGATATTTCAAAGAAAACAACATTGAATAGTTGTCATGGGAAAGTTCAGAACTTTGTTGGGCTTCCTGCCACTTAATTGAAACTCTAGTGTTATTTTTATTTTGAATTACAAATGAGGGTGGTGAGCATCATGGTTTTAAATTGTTTTCACCGTCAGGGTCTCAGAAGGTCTTGTTGGCCTTGAAAGGGCTCAGTGTAGCACTGCTCGTGGTGAGCGTGCACATAAGGACACAACCAAACACTGGCTCCTGGGGAGGCCCCTGCCACAAGCCCGATGCCCTCTTTGGTGGAAGTGGCAACCCCAGAGTCAGGTGGGGAGGAGAGAAGGGCAGGAGGCAGGCAGACATAGGCCTAGGAGAGGACCATGCCATGTAGGGCCACTGGGAGCCCCTGTGCCCAGCTCCTGGGGAGGGGTGAAGAGGGAGGGGTGGATGGGTGGGGAGGCACTCCTTCCTCAGACATGCCCTTCCTTCCAAGCCCCCCGCAGGCAGACCCCACCCAACCATGCACCCCCCAGACACCACCCTGAAGAGTCACACTGCCCAGGAATGGGGGACATGCTGGTAGCAAGGAGACGCCAAGCAGGACTTACCGGGGAACTGGTAGGTGTAGCCAGGGGCCAGGCCTGTATAACTCCGGCTGGCGTAGGTCGTAGCTTGGAAACCAGGGTAACCTGATAGGGTAAGAGGGCTGGTCAGATGCCTCACTGACAGCTCAGACCCTGCTCCTTTCCCTCCCCACCTTGTATCACGAGTAATGGTCCTTTATATTTGCCAAATACCTTCTGCATGCCAAGCACTGTGCTAAGCCTACTGCACACTTTATTCTCCCCTCAAACAAGGATTCTCTCCTCACCAGAATCCTAAGAGGTAGGTACTATTAAGAACTCCATTTTACAAATAAGGAAACTGAGGCTCAGATAAGTGACACTGATTGGCTGAGAAAAAAACAGGCCCTTACCAAGGCCCTTCATCCTCTGGCTCCTGCCTCTCTCCTGTCCTTGCCTACACTGTCTCTTACTCACTCTGCTCTAGCCACATTGGCTTCCCTGCTGCTTCTCAAATTCACCAAGCCCTTTTCCACCTCAGGGCCTTTGCACATGTTATTTCCTCTCTACCCCCAGGTTTTCACACGACTGTGTCCTTCTCATTGTCCAAGTGTCAGCTCAAATGCCACCTCTTCAGAAAGGTCATCATCCCAGGAGAGTCCTCCCTCCCGTCAGTTACAAGATTGATCCCTTCACCTTGGTTTTTCCCATTCATAGCACTAATGATCATCATCTGAACTTATCCCAGAATTTCTTTAAGTGTCAGCTTTGTCTTCTCCATCTTTTATTGCTGCATCTCCAGCACCAGCACAGTGCCTGATACTTAGTATGCATCTAATTAATAATATTTGAAGCTTTGAAAGAAATATCTTATAGTAAGAATGGTATAATTGGGATTCAAATTCAGATCTGACTGGCTCCAAGTCTCTTAACTACCATTCTTACTACTTGTTAGGTTTTCTTTTTCTTTCTTCCTTTTTTTTTTCACTTTTTAAATGGGGTGAAACCAGTGAATGAGTCACCTTGTGACAACTGAATGCAATACCTGGCTCTAGCTTGGGTCTTGTTCTGGTAGGCAAAAATGCTATAAAGAACATTATTGGGCCAACTGATAAAATTGGAAAATAGCTGGCAGAATTAAAGTATTGTATCAGTACAAACTTCTTAGTTGATAATCATAATGTGGTTTCATGAGAGAATATCTCTAATCTTAGGAAATACACACTGATGTATTTAAGGGTAAAGAGTCATGATGCATGTAACTTACTCTCAAATTATTCAGAGAAAAGAACTGCAAGTGCGTGTATGTATATGCCCATATGTATGTATACACATACACACACAGGGCAAATGATAAAGCAAATGGGGTACAAAGTTAACAGTAGGTGAATCTAGCAAAGGGTATTAGAATGTTCTTTGTACTACTTTATTTTTGCAACTCTTCTGAAAGTTTGAAATCATTTCCAAATAAAAAGTTAAAAAAAAAAACTTAAGAGAAGACAGTGCCCCAACCACTCTATCTGTAATCCCAGTCCTGACCCTCTAGGCCATGCCACGCCCACTCATTTGAATTCCCAGAGCACCCCACTACCTGGCATGAACACTCCCTTGTGTACACATCTTGTCTCTTTAGGGAGACTGTGAGCTTCCCAGGGGCTCAGCTCAAATTTTCCACCCTCAGTCATGGCCCCAAGCAACTGCTAACTCGTGCTCAACTTCCAAGGCTCATGGCGGCCTTCAGCTCCTCCAGGGACCGGCAGGTGGGTTTAGGTGCCTCCCACTCCAGTCACACACAGCCACCAATCGTTCTGTGGTGTCACTGCCCATTTACTCCTGTCTCCCACCTGACGAGAAATCCCATGAAGGCAGGTCCTGCCTCTCAGAAGCTGATCAATAAACATTAGCTGAATGGACAAGAAAAAGATGCCTTCTTTTTGCCTTCCCAAAGGCCTTTGGGACTTTCTAAATGCTGTTCCCTCTGCCTAAAACACTTTTTCCCTTCCTTTCTCCCCTGCCCCTCAGACACCCCATAATTAGTTCCTACTCAACCCTCAGATTCAGCTTAAGTATAACTTCTTTTCTGGCTTCTCCAAGACTTGGTCAGGTTCCTTATGACCATACTCCCCTGGCACCCTACACTTCTCCATCCTAAACCTATTTATTTATATTTTTACTTATTTGTTTTCCCTCCCAGATTATAAAGATCCAAGCAAAGTCACTTGTACTTCCTGGCATAGTTCGTGGCATTTATTGTTGCTCAATAACTATTTTTTGGACGGATGGATGAATGGACCAATGAATGGATGGATGGACAGAAGAACCAATTAATAAGCAACTGGATCATTCTTCTGGCCACCACCAGAGGGCAGCACCTCACAACCAAATCACCCCACCTTTGGTAGAACTGCCAGATGTGAGGTCCTTAGTCCCCACTCCGGCCAAATGACTCAGACAGGAGGGCAGACCACAGAGGAGATGCAACACCCACACTGCCTCTGGTAACCCCTGGAGCAGTTCCGGGCAGGAAGAAGCCACAGGTGCGAGCCTAGCACATACCCAGCATGCCTATGCCCAGCATGAAGGCGTCCATTCCATAGGGCATGACTCGAGACCTCCCCCGGGCCGAGCCTGTGGGGGACATCACCTCTTTTGGCTGAGCTTTCTTACATTCCACCTGCAACAAGACGTGATGGTCATTCCCTCCTACAGACTAAAGGCCACCCACCCTCCCTGTTTCCTGGCAGGTCTCTTTATTGTTAATTTCATAGTTATCATTTATGGAGCCATCACTATGTGCTAGATTGTGTAAATGGCTTTGCACGCAATAGTTCATCAAATGCTTACACTAAGAGGTACTACTGCCACTCTCATTTCCCAAATGAGGAAACTGAGGCTCAGAGAAAGTAAGTCACCTGCCCAATGACCAGACTAGCAAGCGGTGGAGTAAGGATTTTAACCCAGGTCTCGGACTCCACCAAGCCATGCTTTTTAACCACCACGGGAATTGCCTTCCTACCCAGATTATCAGGGGGTGGGCAAACTGGCTCTGTTCGTGTGAGGCCGCTCTGTCTGCCTCCAGAACCTCCAAGCATCCCTGGCTGGCTCAGCCTGGTGCCCCATCTCTCTCTGTACACCTCCATCCAATCCTTCTCACCATTTTGTTGTTGATTTCATGGAAGTGGATTTCACACACTTTCTCCACGATGTCCTCGCTCTCGAATGTGACAAACCCGAACCCTATGGGGCAAAGGCAGGGTCAGAACCAAGGCTCATGGCCAAAATCCAGCCTTCAGTCACACCACCACCATCATTCCTCTCTTGCAGGCAAATGTCTGAGAATCAACGAAAGGCCCTGCCCACAGTCTGGGAACCTCTCAGTTACTCTGTTAGCGGAGACACAGTTTGTTGCTAACAAATTACAGATGTAAAAGTAAGACTCAGTGTAAGTGAAGTGACTTGCCCAAGGTCACACCACAAGTTAGAAAGCTGTCGTGAAAACACACTCAATATGCCTTTTCTTTCCCTCATATGCTTTCCAAAGAGAGAAGAACACACACACACACTCACTTAAACTTACACAAAGGTATACATGCCCAAACATGTTTGTACAAAGTCACTCATATGCATGACATGTAGGTACACACACAGGTACATATATACATAGGGACATACATCACACAGTGTCCACGAAAGCCCCCACATGTGCATAGATACCCTACACACCAGTCATTCACAAATATTCAGACACAGACACCTGCACACACACACACACACACACACACACAGCACATAATCCAAACCTAAAACAGGCTAAAACTCCCAAAGCCCTTAAGTAACTGCAGAAACAACTCCTCCTCCTCCCTGGTGTGCCCCAGGGGCTAGAAGGGGATTTCTCAGAAGACAAGGCCCTTGAAAGAAAAACAACCAGGCAGTGCAAACACTGCTGCCCAGCTGCTCACAGGTTCAGGGGCAAGGGGACGGGGGCTGGGAGCTGGGCTCCGCCCATGGGCGGGGCACTGGCAGAAGCAGCTTGTGGAGTCAGCCTGACCCTGGGGCAGCCTGGCCTGAGCTCTGGTTACCAGGGACAAGGTAAGCCCTGGCAGACAGCGGCTGGGTGGGGGTGGAGGGCTCAGTTTAAGTGGGGGGAGGTTGCTCCTCTGCTCCTCTCTGGTGTCTGCAGTTCGGCAGTTTCTAGCACAGGAAACAGTGGGACAAAAGCCTTCTGTAAGGCCAGGCCCTGGAGAGGATGCAGATCCTCAGGGATAGGATGTCAGGAGGCGAGATGAAAGGGCAGCTGTGACCTGCAGCCCCCTGGCTGACCACAGGCCCCCAGCCTGGCCTGGGAAGGGGGAGGGGGCCATACTCACCTCGGTGCCGGTTGGTGGTTTTGTCAAACATTAGCATGGCATCGTCCACCTGAAACAGAGCCTGCCATGGAGCACCCACCAGATACCAGAGGACCCACCACCCAGAGGCAGGAGCTCCCACACTCACTCCCCCCTTGCTCAGTCTGCACTTTATCTTAAACTTGTTCCCTGTGTAGGGCACAGCTTTCCATCTGCAATCCACTGGATGCCCAGCAGTACCAGATTCTCAATGGACCAGCCTGTATATATTAAGCACCAAATATTTGCCTGGCACTTTGCCCCATCACCCTCTCCATATTTCCTGCATGGTAAGAGTCTCATTTTATAGATAAGGAAATGGGCTCAGAGAGGTGAAGTCACCTGCCTAAGGTCACACAGCAAATCCTAGACCCAGCTCAGGAGGAGAAGGCACAGAGTGGGTGCTAGAAGATTTAGGGGAGTAAGATAGAAACACAGCAGCTAAAGCCTTTTCACTTTTTGCAAAGGCCAGGAGGACAGCAGCTGCTCCAGCCAGACTTGACTCTCGTCTCCTGGTATAGATCTTTTCCACTAATTGAGGTTTCCTTTTGCTAGAGGCTATAATAAAAGCAAGTAGAGTCCAGTGCCTAGGCTGCTTGCCTCCCACTGCCTGGGGGAGGGGAAAGGGTCTACATCATCCCCTCCCTTGGACCCCGTCTTCTCTTCTTGCTACTCCTTCAAGGCATCCTCTTGGATACTGCACAGCCAAGGGCCTTAGCTTCATCTCCTTCCCTGTGCCTACAACTGGTGCTTCCTCTGCACCCTCTTAATTCTTCAGCCAATGTCAGCTATTTCATGGGGTTAAACTAAGGTCTAATTCATCCTCGGTGGAAATCAAGGGCTGTCTCTGCTACATCCCAACACACACACACACACACACACACACACACTCCAGCTGCCAACCCACCCCCAAATGATGAGACACCCCAGGGATGAAGGAAAACTTCCAGAGCCCATGGGGCACAGCCTATTCCCCACTCTCCTTCACTCTCTTTCCAGACCATCATCTGACTCAGGGAAGTGGAAAGGCATTAAATAGGGTGGTCCTCCAGCTCTCCTTAGGCACCAAGCTGTACCAGACCTCTGACTTCCCCCTGGGTGAACCAGGACCTCACTGAGGCAGGAGGTGGCTGGGTCCCTGGAGAAGCTGAGGGAAATGACCCTCCCTGTCCAAGGAGCTTCCTGCCCTAGAGTCCTGCAGCAGAATGCTACCCTCACTCCTATCCTATAGACCCATTCTGAGCTCCAATCCCAAATCAGCTAGATTATCCAAACAGGACAGACGCCAGGCTCAGCACATCTTCCCTACCCCCTCGATAAAACAATGGAAAAGAGCAACCAAGAAAGGAGGGCTGTGATCAAAACACAGGCTTTGAGTAGGACAGGCTAGAATTGGGATCCTAGATCCTGCATTTGCTGGTTGGGTAACTCTGGGCAAGTGGCTTTATGTCTCCGTGCCCAGGTCCCTGTCTGTAAAATGGGCATAACAGTCTCTCTCACATAGGGAGTCAAATAAGAGAGCGCTTGTTAACACTTAACTCACAATACCTGGGATACACTAAGTGCTTGATAAGTAACAGCTATTATAACCTTTATTAAGGAGGGGCTTGCCCAGAGTCCCACTGGGGAGAGTAGCAAAGCAAGAGAGAGAACAGCCCAATACCTCTGGCTTTAAAGGTTCCACAAGCCCAGTGCCTGTGTCAGTAATGACCATGGCCATTCTACTGAGCACCTTGACTTGTGCTCCAATAATTTTTGAATGAATGAATGAATGAAAGCCACACCTCCTTCCTAATCCTACCACTTTGAGTTCCTGCCTGACCCACAAACTGATTCAACCCACATCCACAGCCCTCTGGCCTTCCCAACCTTCCAGCTCCACCAACCCTGGCCCCCCATAACCTTCAACCCAGCCTTGGCTGGACAGCCCCCTAGTGGGCTGAGGCCAAGCCAGGGAGCAAGTTAAGTGGCGGAGGATCCCGGGGACCCCCACGGGTGTCCCCTCCTGGGGCCAGCTGAGGGGAGGAGGCTCCCAGCCCAGTGTCCTTAATAGGCTTTGGTCTCCATGGGAACCCCGGGGCAGGGGGGCTCGCGCAGGGGGAGGGGAGGCGGCCGAGGCCTGCTGACCAGTGGGAGCCGCCAAGTTCGGCGGCCGCTAAGCCTGAGTGGCAGCCATGGCGGCTGACCATTGTTCCCCCCTCGGCGGCGGCCCCCGATCCGGGCGGGGGGCCCCCCGCCGCGGGGCCCTTGGCATTCCCGGCTGTCCCCCGCGCTCCCTGGCAGCCTATTCTCCGGCTCCCCCTGGCCTCCCCGGGCCGGTTTCACATGCCAACGCCGATTTAGGCCCGAACAAAAGACGCGGCCGCTGACGGCTTCTCCTGGGGCCCGGTTGTCATGGCAACGCCGGCCCCGGGGGCAGGCGGCCTCCAATCACAGCTGCTGGATCAGATTAGTGCGAGCTCTAATGCTCGGCGCTCAGACACAAAGACACCCCGCCGGAGCCGAGCGGGCCTGCTGCTTCCCAGGAGCGCCCTTCCCTCTGGGGCCCAGGCCACCGACCTGCCCTCCGTCCTGTGCCCAGGTCCCCACGGAGTCGCCCGAGCCTAGGCCTCTGGCCCCCACGCCGCCAGCATCCACCGGCCAGGGGACCTCCCACTGTCTCTCCTGCCACCCTAGAGATGAGGCTGGAAACCCACCCAGGCCTCAGCTCACATCTATCTCATTCCCAAGCCATGGTCTCCCTTGCGCCTTGCCTAACAGGCAACTGAAAAATGCCAATGGGAAGGAAAATAGAGGCCCAGCCTCTAGCCTGTCTCATGGAAGATCGCAGACCTCAGCACTAAGCACAGCAGCCCTGCTTCACCCCACTCAAAACATGACCCCCTCTTTGCAATCTCCCCGTGGGACCTTGACATTCACGTTACTCACCTCTCTGGGGACACCTATTGTCTGATGCCTCCACATCTCCTACTTCTTCATAGACTAAATGGCCCAGAAATTTAGGCTTGATGCACCTCAGAGCCAACAGCCAATCCTCTGGGCCTGATCAGGAATTTGGGGTGCCCTCTTCAGTCTCCCATATAGCTTGGGGATCAGCATCACCCCCACCCCAGCTCTTACCTGTGCAAGCAGGGTGCTGAGTGCAATTGGGAGTCATTTTTATTGCCTCCTTATCATTCTCACCAGGAAAGAGTCAGGGGAGGTATAACCGCCCGTGGCCTGGACAGGTGCAAACTCCCAGGAGGCCAAGGGGTGGCTGGATTGAACTGGCTATGGGAGCACAGCCTCCCTAGGGAGAATGAAGATAAGCCAGAGAAAAACACAGCGGACAGGCAACAACAGCGACAGCTACTGTGTGGCTTCTCTCCCTCGGGATGTGTCCAGAGGCTGAGGCCTGGCCTCAACCACAAAAGAACCCAGCCTCCTTTTCACCTTGTGCAGGAATTGCAGTAACCTGGCTGGACTCTGCTTGCTACCAACCAATTCTACAGGGCTTTCACAGCCCCAGCAAGCACCCCAAGCAAGCACCCCCAGTTTTGACCCACCTTCCCGAACTGCTCAAAATACTGCTTCACGTCCTCTACCGTGGTGTTCACTGATAGCCCCCCTACGAAGATCTTCTTGGTTCGAGTCACCATCTGTTAGGGGGAGGGAATGAAAAAGAGGGCATCTGAGTCCTGTGGCCTACCGCCACCAGCAGGGGCTTGAGCTCTCCTGCCAGGGCGCCAGCTGACAAGCTATCTGTGGCCCCAGCTACTCGGAAGCCCCCCTCCCCAGCTCCCCCTTGGACCTCCACCTCTAGGCCTGTCACAGGCAGCTGTGCACCCCACACTGTGGCTGTGCCTCCCTCCCTTGGGTCTGTGTCTGGAAAATGCCTTCTGAAAGGACCCACAGAGACAATGGAGCAGGTTATGACCCAGACCTAACTCAAAGACCCCCCCTGCACCCCTGGGAAAGGCTAAGGACCATCAGAGGGATCCCTTGAACTCAATGCCGACATTTTCCTCATCAAACTCCTCCCAACCCAACCTCTGGCAGCCCCGTGGCCCCAGTGCTGTTTTAGGAAGAACACATGGTCCTAATTACCCCAGGAGCGCATGGCTAATCCACGGCAATTCCCAGCCCCATCCTAACACTAAAGCACCTTCTGTCACCAAACTGCTTAATGGAATTAACCCAATTCCAACCATGTGCTCCCTGGTGTGGCTTCCTTCGAATACCTGCTCCATAATTGCTTTCAGGCCCTCTGCTGGACCCTTCCAGAGATGCCCCTTTCCTGTTTCCCAAAACTTGTCCCTCTTCCTTCTCTGTGGCAGAAACTGGGAGCCATGGTGGGACCCACTGGCTCAAAATATTAAAGCATGCTAGTTCCTACCCACCATCTTGCAATAGGGGAAACAGAGATCTCCTGGAGAGGGGCCTAGTCCTAGGACACATGGGAAGCCGGCAGATTCAGTGGTTCTTGACTCCCTGTACCACAATCAGCCATCTGGCCTGTCCTGTATTCAACTGCTTAAAAATTAAGCTAAGGCCAGTTGCCTTGGGACCTGGAATAGAATCTCAGGCCCTTGCCCTGCACCCAAGTTTCGAGTGCTATATAGCTCTGCTTAGAAACCTGTTTTCTGCATACCCAGAAAAACTCGCCACAACACCAGGGAAAGAGAGCACTTGGGAGGGCAGCCACAGTCATCCAAGTTGAAAGACAACAGGTGATAGACTCTAAGGACTCCGGTCCTTTCTCTCTCTGCAAGCCCAACACACTACACCTCAGAGGTCAGAAGGTGACAGGTGGTGGGTGTGGTGGGGGGTGTCAGAGGTAGTTCCCTGTCTGATTCTAGCTCAGCCTCAGGAGGTAAGTCTGTCCTGGGTTTGACACCCCAGAGGTACTGGGCATAAAGACTATGATCCATGAGGTCAGAATATGACTCAGGGTCCACAGTGTACTAGCTTCAAATACAGGACTAAGAATCCCCTGGTGGGTTCCCCCTTCTCCCAAAACAGGACGCAGCCTCCTTCCCAGTCCACCCTAGAGTACAGATGGAAAGATGCATGATGTCTTTAATCCACAGAGCAAGGACATCAAGAATCTCCCCTCCTTCCATCCCAGTCCATTCCAGGAATACTCCAGAGGTTCCAGAAGCTTCTTCCACAGAAGGGAAGGCTGGGAAAAATCACTGTCCATGGTAACAGAGCTCCTCCCAGACAGACACACCTACCTTAGGCTGTGCTCGCCGAGGAAAGGCCACCTTGGGATCAATCTGCAAGAGAAGGAAGAGGGAAAGGGGCCTTGGTTATTATACTTCAGATGTGACCACACAGCCTTCAGTGCTGAGGACCTCTCTGATTCCAGGACACAGAAGTGACAGAAACCACAGCCTGTGGCAGGAAAGCATCACGGTGAAGCACTTAGGCCCTGGAGCCAGGCTGTTGGGTTCAAATCTCATTTACACTGCTTCCCATGTGAGACCTTGGGCAAGTTACTTAACTTCCCTGAGCTGCAGGGTCCAGCTCACCTGCAAAATGGGCAAAAAGTAACATCCACCTCAAAGGGGTCTACAGATTATTTAAGATAATGCTTACAAAACACTTGGCATGATGTCTCACTGACAGCAAGAACTCAAAAAAAGTAAGCAAAATCTTAGATTCCTTCAAGCACTGGGTATATTGAGGGCCTCCCCCAACTAACTGACTTCACACAGATACCTGTCTAGGTGAGGTATGTGATCCAGACTTTGAAAGCCTTTGGAATGGAAATACTTTTTGGTTCAAGATAAGAGTTCATAAAACAACAGGATTCAGTTCTGTTTCCCCAATACTATCAACATCTAACAGTCTTCCTTGAGGCTGCAAGCAAACAGGCCCCTGATAACCCAACGAGGCTTGGTATGAAGCAGAGCACAGACTCTGATGACATGCAAGGGCCCAGGACTTGGACTCAGTTACTTTAGGTCCCCAGCCAAACCTGTAATCTTGGTAACTCACCTGACCCTACCCCCCTGCCCAAGCCTCAATTCCCTCATCTGCAAAGTGGGGACAATCACATCCACTTTTCCCAGGGGCAACTGTGGGGAATCAAATGAGATAAGGTGGTGAAAGCAGCCCTTTGTGAACAGCCCTCATTGCACAAACAAAGGTGCTATTACCAGCAGGCCACCTTTGCCCTTGGCTGTGAACAAGCAGAGGGGAAAAGCAAGATGCACCTGGGTACTCCTGGGAGAACTACACCCATACTGACGACAAAGAGCAAAAGCCAGCACACAAGACACTGATCAACACAGAACGCATGAGGCCTGGTCATGCCAGAGTTTCTTGCTACCCACATGGGTGGATACCACGCAGAAGTTCATCAGCCAATCACAGGGAAGATCTATCTTTTCCCAAAGTTCCTTCCATTCAAAACTCAGCCTCATTCTAGGCAACTAACTCTGGTTCCTCTATGCCTGAATGGCACAAACCAGGGAACGGTCTCCTACAGGCTTCCCCACTGGAATCTGCCCACAGAGAAGCAACTTCCAAAATCCACACTGGGGCAATGTGTCCTATCCCCCAAAGTCCCACTGGGCTCCAGGGAAAATCACAGCTGCCCATTTCCCCCATCTCAAGGTATGTAGCACCTCTATAGACATTTCTGTCCTTCTCTTTCTCCTGGCAGCCTTCCCAGCCACGAGAGCACACCTCAGACAGTCCCCCCTGCACAGACCCTGATGGGGAGATGGTACCCAAGCCACATCCCACAGACCCACACATGCCCGTTCCTTGACATACCCCACCTCCACTCTGACTCACAGCTGGCAACATAAATAAAACCCAACAAGTAAATAAAAGGTGAAAGTCAGAACCCAAAATAGACACCCCACAATAAACCTTCCTCCCACCCCACCCCCTTTCCCAGGCCAGAGAACACCAAACACAAAGCCCTCGCCCTTTTGGAATCTTGATCCTCAGAAGGGTATCTATCTTCAGCTCCTTTCTCCCTTCACTCTTGTCCTCTTATACACCTTCCATACCCCTGCCCCGACTCCCAACCCCAGCCCCAGCCCCTAAATCTCTGCTTCCTGAGCGCTGCAGAAGGCAGCAGTGCTTTCTGAGGACAGGGGATGGTAGGAGAACAGACAGCTTGATGGCAGATAATCACCAAAAACAATAGGCCACTGTCTCTCCATTCCCAGCTTGGGTCACTCGGTCTGCGCCAAGAAGATCCTTTCAGAACCGGAAAAGTTGAGGCCTGGCCTCATTTGCTCATGACTGCGAGCAGGAGTGGGAGCCACTGGGCAGAGGTAACAGTAGCCTGGGACAGACAGTAATTTAACAAATTCTTGGGCACAACCAGCTATTGTTGCAGGTAAGCAGGAGCCAGTGACTGACCCAAGCTGGGAGGCCCAGAGTTGGAGGAAGAGTCGGGGAGTGTGGAGAGAGATCACACTGTCCCGGTCTCCTGGCAAAGGGTCACCCCATCACAGAGTAACTCCCCGGACTTTCTCCTCTTCCCTCTCCCTTGGAACCAGGGCCTGGGCCAGCGCCCCCTGCAGGGCCCAAGACACCAGGGAACAGAGGGCCTGCAGCAAAATGTTGCAGGAGTTTGAATGCCCAACTTGCTTCCTCAGACTGAGCCCTCAGGAGGGTTGTTCCCAATCAAGCTGGCTCCCTTCTCATAAATCCCTTCCTGGGCAAGGCAGGTTCTTGTCTTTCACACAAAGCAGGGAGCTCATAGACCAAAAGTCAGGGGAGGGAGGGAGGACGGAAAGGAGGGGCTTTTTCAGTGATGCTTTGCCATTGGTCTGGAATGGGGGGGGGAGAGCCAAATACTAGTTGGGAGTTCGGAGAAGCCGCGGGGTGGGTCACTGCAGCCCTGACTCACCCAATTTGGGCTAGAGGAGGGACCTGGCCCCACCCCAAGCTCCTCTCTGAGGCATCAAGATGAGTACACACAGGGAAGGCACGGTAGCTGCTCCTTCCCCCGCCAGTACCAGAGGGGTTGGGGGGATGTAGCATGTCATCGCAGGCCTAGGATTCTTCTCCTCCCTCTCCCCCCAACTCCAGTGACAAAGTTTCAGAGCGTGGCAGCCCTTCTGCTCACAAAAAACTCCCTCATTCCTTAAGGACCCCGTCCAACTGACCTGTGGGGAGAGTCCTGACCCTCTCCTCCGGCGGCCTCCCTCTCCCAAAGGACCCCCTTAGCCCCGAGGGCCACTCACTGTTTTGGAGTCGAGCTCGTGCCGCGATTGCGCCAGCACTTTATCCACCCCCGCCTGGTCCATGAAAGTGACGAAGCCGAAACCCCTGCGCGCCGTAGTGAGGGAGAGGCAGATGGTTACAAGGCAGTGAGTGGCGGTGGAGGGGGGCGAGCCGGGAGCAGGAGGAGGGGGTGAGGGGCTCACCTGGATCTCTTGGTCAGGGGGTCCCGCATCACCAGACACTCCTTCACCTCCCCGAATTGGCCAAAGTATTCGCGCAGACCTTCTGTAACCACACAGCCGCCTTCGGACCAGTCCGGGCCCCGCGCCCTTCCCCCCTCCCCCGTCCTTTGCCCCCGGTGACCCCGGCGCAGCCCGGCCGCCCCCGCGCCAAGCAGCGTCCGCGCTCTCCACTGCCCCCCCTTCCCAGCCCTCACCCGCCTCCCGTGGAGCCTCCTGGCGCCCACGGGGGCTCCAGGAAGCTGAGGGCCAAGCTGGGCTGGAGGGGGACGGCTCCGGCCGGGTTCCCGCCGCTCGGGGAGCCGCCTCACAAAAGTTTGAGCCGCAGGTGCGAGCGGAGTTGGCTCTGCCGCCGGCGGGTCCCGGGGGCCCAGCCCACCCCACGATGCCCCCTGAACCCCTCTATCTCCTCCCCTCCACTCTCTGGGCCGTGCGCGCTCGCCGATCGTCCTGCTTTCTCGGGGTACCCGGGCGGGGCACGAAAGAGGGCGCGGGGGCGCCCAGGGTCAGCAGGGCGCAGGGCCTGGCTGGGGTGTCCGGTTCCGGGGCGCCGGGGGTCCGGCGTTCACTGCCGGGCCGGCGGGCGCTCCCGGGCTCGCTCACCCTGCGTGGTCTGCCAACTGAGTCCCCCGATGAACATCTTGCTGCGGGAGGAGGAGAGACACAAAGGGCCCGCGTGAGCGCCGGGCGCCAGGGCGCAGGGGGCGCGGGCCCGGGCCCCGGGGAGGCCCGGCCCGACCCGGATCGGCCATGTTGTCGGGGCCGGGGCGGGCGCGGGCCGGGCAGGCTGGGCCGGGCCGGGCCGGGCCGTACCAGGGGTCGTGCGGCGAGTCCGGGGAGGCGAGGCCGGGCTGGGGCGCGTCAGTCTCCATCGGGAGCCGCGGGCGGCGCGGGCAGCGGAGCGGCGGCGGCGGCAGCGCTCGGCGCGGGGCAGATGAGGAGCGCGGCGAAGGGGGCCGGACGGACAGGCCATGCTGCCCCCTCCCCCGACCCCGCTCGGGCGGGCGGGCGGGCGGGGACGGCCGAGGGGAGGGCCCGCCGGGGGCCGACCTGCCGGCTCCTCCCCCCGCCGCCCTGCGCACATAAAGCCCCGCGCGCGCCCGGGCGCCCGCGGAGGAGGCGGCGGCGCCGGGACCCCGCTCCCGCCGGGCTTCCGGGTCCCCGAGGGCGAGAGAGACCCCGAATCCCGATGCGGGCCGGGACCTGGGCGCGGCCGCATCCCCCTACCCACCCCAGCGCGGGGGCCGGGCCGCGGGGAACGCCCTCCCGGAATGAAGCGCTCCCCGGTGCCTTCAAGGTAGCTCGGTTCCGGATCGGGTATCCCCTACCCAGCCCAGTCCTCCCTCTCAGGTCCCCGCTATCCAGAATTTATGAGATCCCCAATCTCTCCGGGTCGGGATGGAGCCAGCCCCAGCGACCCCCAATCCCTAACTGGTAAGAAGCCACCCTCGGAGCTCCCAGTTTCCTCCGAACTTAATTCAGGGCTCCCCTTCAGTGGCCCTCAGTCCACTCCTAGTTCTATATCCCCCATATCCAATTTGGGGGACCCTCTGAGCGCCTCGCGTCCGGAGTGGGAGCCTCCATCACCAGACTTCACCGCAGGAGAAACGTTATCAGTTTCCCAAATCCTTCCTCCGCCTCTGCTGTCCCGAGTGAGAACCCCCCGCAAAGGCCCCAAATCCCTTCCGTCCACAGTCGTGGGCTCTGGGCTTTGCTGAAAAAACCCCCTGCCCCAAGCCCGGGTTCCTGGTTTGCCGCCCCCCCACCCCCACCCCGGAGTGAGACGTCTCCACTGTTTCTCTCACTCTCTGGATCACTTTGGTCAGCCCTACTCAGACTTCTGCCTGGATTCGGGAAAGCCGGTTCCAGACACCCACCGCCGCCTCCCCTCCGAGGCTGGGGGAGAGGTCAGTGCCTTTTCGAGACTTCCGTTTCCAGCTCGGGAGCCCGGGGGCTCGGCTGCTCACCTTCCCCTCCGGATGATCCCTTTCGCAGAGCTCTGAGCCGCACTCCATCGGACTGGAAGAACCTACGCTGCCTGCCCACTGCGTTTGGAGTTTCTTCTCTCAGCCCCTCTCCGTTTGAGACTACTTCCCATGAAGGCAAACGGCTTCATTTCTCCTTCCTCCTCCCCACTCCCCTCTCTTCTGGGTCACTGAGATTTCCCCAGTACTTTCACCCAAGACTACTGGGGGCACTTCGCCCACCCTGAAAACTCCCTCCCTTCAGCCTGGGAAACCTGACAAAGTCCATTGTGGGTCACCTCCCGAGCCGGGGCGCCGTCCCTATCCCCACCTGGCCATACCCTTAATCTCACCTTAATTCCCTGGCTGAATTCAGGCAGGAAAGGGTCGAAGCACGGAGGCAGCCACTCTCCTAAATCCCCATCCCTGCTGGGGGTCTCTGTGCTACACAAGCCCCTCCCTCCCAGCTCACCTCCCAATCCTTCCCCCTCCCTACCTTAAATCCACTCCGTGTAACCCAAGGATAACCCTTTGATGACGAGTCCCTTGCTGCTCACCTTGACATCCATTCTGCAATCAGCCACCTTTTATTAATGTGTGCTGCAGCTCTGGGCATCCTAACCTTGACCCCCGGAAGAGTGCCCATCCCCCTCCTCTTAATATACCTTCCCTCCCACCACCAACACACAAGAGAAAGTGAGAGACTCAAGTTAATGGCTTCCTCCTCGGGGACCTTCTGGGAACACTCAGCAGGTATATCCTGCCACCCTGTGTGCATAACACTAGAAACAAACTTGCTTTTTCCTGTTTTTATCGTCCTACTCACCGCACAGTTTCTCAGCATCCCCCGGACTGCAGGCGGGGGGCACCCCACACAGGGCATTTCTCTTCATCTCAATATGAACTGGAATACCAGAAGTCCTGGGAATGACCCAGATGAGGGTCGGCAGGTAGCAAATGCAGTGTTAGGGAATTACTGACTGTTCCTAGGTCTAAACCTCAGGTTCCTTGTGTGTCAAATGGGTCCAATAGGGAGGTTCAGGGAGGGGGAACCCCAACTATCTATCCATGAGCAGTGATCTGCTGTTGGGCAGGTGGCTTGGAGAGTAGGAAGTGGGTAAGGGCATTTATTCTGAGCCAGCCAAGCCTGTATGAGCAATAGATCGGGATAGGATCCATTTACTACCATCTTCGTTCAGGCCGTCAGGGGAGGAAGCGTTTACTTATCATCACTACCTGGTTCAAAGCACAGTATCGTGTGAGGTGGGCTTATGGAAGACCACTCTCACTGCAGGTCCATCTCAGCTCCATTGCTTCAGTCCACTTTGTCCACAGGAGGGGCAATGAGTCCTTCTAGGGGTAATTCTCCTAGGACTGTAAATGCATAGTTTTCATAGCAAATTGAGGATCTCTACAGTATTATGGAAAAATGATCATCAGAGCAAACTGGCCCAGACTCCAGAACTAGGAGATTAGAGGATGTGGTTCCAGCTCTTTCTCTCTGGTACTACACACACTGAGCAATTACTCAGAGAATTAAAGAATAATTTGATTATAGTTTTTAAAAATCCGTTCTAGAAAGACAGTGGGCAAACGACAATATTCTCAAGCACCAAAATGCAAGTTGGCATATTCATTCATTCCACAAATATTGACTGAACACCTGCTACCTACCAGACAATGTCTTAGGTGCTATATTCTTAGCACCGACCTTTGTGAAACTTGCTTTCTAGAGATAGGATTCAGATAATAAATAAGTAAATAGATAAATAAATAAAATGTTGGTTAGATGTTGGTAGGTGCTGTGCAGACGGAAAGGGGATAGAGAGGATGGGAGGATGATAAGCAGTTTTAATTCAAGAAAGTTGTCACAGGGAGGAATGATGTTTTAGCAAAGGTTTGAAGGAAATGAGGTATGTTAATCCACTGTATTATCCAGAACTCTCATTTAAGCAGAGTATCTGCAGCTCTTGAGTTCAATGATAGATAATTTGACTTTGTTGTTCTAAAAAACAATGGTTCCCAAACCTTAATGTGCCTAAAAAATCACTGAGTGATTTTCAGTAGACACGGGATGGAAGGGGGCTCTGAAAACTGCATTTTTTAACAAGCACCTCTATCAGATGATGCTGATGGCTGGGGTTTTCCGACCACTTTTGAACAAACACTGCTCTAATATATACTAAAGAATTCTAGAATAATAACAAAAAAAATAAAGATTAAGTTACAATCCAAGTGATTTTAGAGTTGAGAGTATTTTACAGTGTTCTCATTCTTTGAAAAAGCAATACACAAGCAAACCCATAGATTACTCAGAACATCCCATTTCTTGTCCATGCAGGAGAAGGGAAAATTTATCATAAGGTGAATAGGAGACAAACATTGATAATCATTCTGTTTTAGACTCTTCCCCACATTTTGCCCTAATTTTTCTCTGTATTTTTTTCCTTCTCCCAAATTTCTAGACTCAACCAGGAGGCGATTGGCTGGGGTAATGAGAGGAGTTGATGTCCACAGATTGGTCCTGGAACCACCACTGTTTCTGGTTGAGTGATGCCACTCAGCCTTCTGAGAGCTTCCACGTATTCTCAGAATTGCTGCAAGACGTGAGTGAGATCATGTGTATGAAAATGCCTTAAAAATTCTAGAACACTATGGAAAGGCAAGAGAGCTGTGTGACTGGGCATTTCAAGATTCAGTTAATTTGGTCAGCTCAAATTCAGTTACTTTCAAGACAGTGTGGTACTGGTATGAGGATATACCTATAGATGAATAAAATAGACTTGAGAGTCCAGAAGTAAACCTTCACATTATAATAGTGATTTTTGATAAGGATACCAACAGTTCAATGGGAAAAGAACAGTGTCTTCAACAAATGGTGCTAGGACAACTGGATGTCTATATGCAAAAGAATTAATTTGCATCCCTACCTCACACTATGTAAAAACAAATCAGCTCAAAATGGAACAAAGACCTAAATGTAAGAGTTATAACTATACAAAGAAAGTTCAATCTGATATCATTAAAATTTAAAACCTTTGTGCTTCAAAGGACACTATCAAGAAAGTGAAAAAAATAACCCACAGAGTAGGAAGATACATAAATTGCCAATAAGCACACAAAAAGATGCTCAACATCATTAGCCATCAGGGAAGTGCAAATCAAAGCCATAATGAGATACCACTTCACACCCACTAGGATGGCTATAATTAAACAGGTAGATAATAACAAGTATTTAGGTAGAGATGTGGAGAAATTGACATGTTTGTACATTGCTGGTGGGAATATGAAATAGTGCAGTGCTGTGGAAAACAGTCTGGAAAAGCAGGTCCTCAAGAGGTTAAATACGGAGTTACCATATAACCCAGCAATTCCACTCCTAGGTGTCTACCCCCAGAGAAATGGAAACATAACCCACACAAAAACTTGTACATGAAAGTTCCTAACAGCATTATTCATGATAGCCAAAAACATGGCCAACTGATAGACACTGGGAAACAACCCAAATGTCTACCAGTTCTATACAATGGAATATTATTTGATCATAAAAATGAATGAAAAAGAAAAAAAGGAATGCAGTAGTGACACATTCTATGGCCTGGATAAACCTTGAAGACATTATACTAAGTGAAAGAAGCCAGAAACAAAAGGTCACATAATGTATAATTGCATTTACATGAGATGTCCACAATAGGCGAATCCACAGCCTAGGGCTTAGGGGGAGATCTGGGGAGAAATGGAGAGTTCCTGTTACTGGGTTCAGGTTCCTATTTGGAGTCATGAAAATATTCTAAAATTAATTATGGTGATAGTTGCACAATTCTGTGAATACACTAAAAACAACTGAATCATATACTTTAAATGGGTAAATTGTATGTGAATTATATCTCAATAAAATTGTTACCAAAAAAACTCTTACCTACTGTAAACATTTCTCTTACCCATCCCAGTGCCTATCCATCAAAATGAACTTACTCTCTTTTCTCCCATAGCATGTTCTTATTATTATTATTATCTAGAAATTCTTAAATAC